CCATGGCTGTCGCTTTTAACCCCTCTACACCCTGGGGTTTCCCCACTGATACTGTCTGGCCGGGCCTTAGCCACATTCTTAACCCTGGTTCCTACCCCGGTCTCTGATTTCCCCATCTCCTTCCCCTACCTCCAGCGCTTTGACCCTCCTGCACATCAGTTTGCCCCTGCACGGACTCTCTCCCCCACATTTGACTCCTTTGCCCCCCTTCCCCCTACGGCCAGCAGAGACCCCTTGGCCTCCCATGCAGGAGAGGTGAGTGACCGGCATCCTTCACACCAGCACCTACACCAGCTGCAAAGCAGCAGATGGTGGGGGCAGCGGACGGCGGCACCCCCCGTGTGTCTGTCCCAGCCCCAGCCCCGCCCGGCCGGGCTCCCCCCGCCCCGCACACACCGGGGGCTGGCGGCAGCTTTCCCGGGCTCGGGGCAGGGAATCGCAGCCGGCTCCGTGGGGAGCAGCCTGGGGGTGCCGAGGGGGGCGGGTCTCTCTTACCTTCCCTCCGAGCGGGGACCCCCGGGGCAGGGGCCGGGCCGGGGCCCTGGCCGGGCTGGGGGCTCTGCCCTGGGAGAGGCTCCCGGGGAGCAGCGGGCAGGGCCCGGCTGGAGGTTCCCCTCTCCCGGCTGCAGCCCGGGCTCCGGGCTCCCAGCACCAGCCGCCGGGGCGCGGGGATCTCGCCGGGAGCCAGAGTCCCCGCAGCGGCTGCGAGACACTTCCTGCGGCCGGGCCTGAGCCCCGCGATCCTCCCACCAGAGCCGCCCCCCAGCCGCTCCTGGGTCCTAGCGATCAACCCACCGATCTGCAGGCCCCTGCCCCAGACCCTGCCCCCTGGGGACCCCACCTGCCCTGGGCACGGGCAGCTTCTCTCCGCATTAAGGGGGCATCGTGCACAGAGGCCAAAGTACCCGTGGGAGGACAGACAGGAGGCGCCCAGATCGCGGAAAAGGGGGGTTTCTGTGCAGACTTGGGATTGCTCTAGAGAGTCCCAGTACCCAGGGACACACGGGGGACACTCTGTGTGTGATTTGCTCTGGTAACAGACGGGCACAGTGAGCAGTTGGTCAGAGCTGGTGTCTTGTCTGCACCCCAGACTCACTAGCTACCAGCCCTGGGCTGCAGCCACAAGCTCTGCTCCCCTCACTTGGCTCATGGAGCTGTCAGTGCTTTGTCACCAGGTTCCTGGAAGCGTTTGTAGGGCTGAATTAACCCATCCCTGGTTCTAGGCCAAACCCCCTTGTGTGCCCCCCCCCGTCCCCACCCACCAGGGATTGCCTTTGCCCTTCTCCCAACTGGCTCCCCCATGTGGGCACTGACTGCAGCTCCCTCTCACACACCTGCACATCACCAGCAAACTCCAGCTGGTCTGGTTCAGGGACTGGTGCTTTGCCCACTTGTGCCCTGGTGCATGGTGGTTGCAGCACAATTCACTCCAATTTGGCCCTGGCCCCCACCAGGTGTCAACAGCAATCAGATTTGGCCTGATGCCCCCTCTCCCAAAATGGGGGCCAGGCCTCGGACAATCTTGAGTGGGCACTGTGCCACCTATCACTGGATACCTACGAAAATCCCCAATGAGCTGTTCCCCAAGGACTAGTGTACCGCTCTGACCCTGAGAGCATCCCAATGCCAGACGGCCAGGGGCTCCCTGGGAGCTGGAAGTCAGTTTCAGGTGGCTTGACAAACCCAACTCACTGGTGCCATAATCTGTATCTAAAAAGGTGTCATTGGAAACTAATAACTCACTGATCAGTCATATGCTTGCATGAGATACATATGGGCCATACACAAAGAATTAGAAACACAGGCTGGAAATTGTTTTTAAAATGTGTTTGTCGGGCAAGGCTTATGTCACCCCTGCCCTAAACAAAAGAATATGGTTCTTCCACTTGCTGGAACCTGTCTCCAATGTAAATGGAGCGAGGACAATGAAATTACATTTACACCAAGGGCAGACAAAGCCAGCAGGCGAAGCACAGTGGAAGATGCCACTTCCCACTCTCAATGGGAGATGGAAGCAGCAGCTGCAAAAAAACTTCCTGCCTCCTGAAGCGAGGTCATTGAACTTTAGAAACTATAACCAGGACGCAAAGCCAGCTTGGCATCCATTACTGAGCAGATACCACAGGGCCTGTATGTCTGAGAAAAGTGGAACCTTCCAGCCAAGGGGGCTGAAAGTCCCCAGACACTGAATCTAGGCAAGACACCTGCTTCGACCAAGACGGTAACTTACTGCAGTTAAATGTATATTTCAAAACATGTTTTGTCTGTAACCTTTTGTTTTGCTTTCACTCTTATTAGACATCCCTTAATCCTAGGTTCCATGGGAATAAATTCAGTTTTAGTTTTACAACAGGTTTCAGAGTAACAGCCATGTTAATCTGTATTCACAAAAAGAAAAGGAGTACTTGTGGCACCTTAGAGACTAACCAATTTATTTGAGCATGAGCTTTCGTGAGCTACAGCTCACTTCATCGGATGCATACTGTGGAAAGTGTAGAAGATCTTTTTATATACACACAAAGCATGAAAAAATACCTCCTCCCACCCCACTCTCCTGCTGGTAATAGCTCATCCAAACTGACCACTCTCCAAGTTTAAATCCAAGTTAAACCAGAACATCTGGGGGGGGGGTGTAGGAAAAAACAAGGGGAAATAGGCTACCTTGCATAATGACTTAGCCACTCCCAGTCTCTATTTAAGCCTAAATTAATAGTATCCAATTTGCAAATGAATTCCAATTCAGCAGTTTCTCGCTGGAGTCTGGATTTGAAGTTTTTTTGTTTTAAGATAGCGACCTTCATGTCTGTGATTGCGTGACCAGAGAGATTGAAGTGTTCTCCGACTGGTTTATGAATGTTATAATTCTTGACATCTGATTTGTGTCCATTTATTCTTTTACGTAGAGACTGTCCAGTTTAACCAATGTACATGGCAGAGGGGCATTGCTGGCACATGATGGCATATATCACATTGGTGGATGTGCAGGTGAACGAGCCTCTGATAGTGTGGCTGATGTTATTAGGCCCTGTGATGGTGTCCCCTGAATAGATATGTGGGCACAATTGGCAACGGGCTTTGTTGCAAGGATAAGTTCCTGGGTTAGTGGTTCTGTTGTGTGGTATGTGGTTGCTGGTGAGTATTTGCTTCAGGTTGCGGGGCTGTCTGTAGGCAAGGACTGGCCTGTCTCCCAAGATTTGTGAGAGTGTTGGGTCATCCTTCAGGATAGGTTGTAGATCCTTAATAATGCGTTGGAGGGGTTTTAGTTGGGGGCTGAAGGTGACGGCTAGTGGCGTTCTGTTATTTTCTTTGTTAGGCCTGTCCTGTAGTAGGTAACTTCTGGGAACTCTTCTGGCTCTATCAATCTGTTTCTTCACTTCCGCAGGTGGGTATTGTAGTTGTAAGAAAGCTTGACAGAGATCTTGTAGGTGTTTGTCTCTGTCTGAGGGGTTGGAGCAAATGCGGTTGTATCGCAGAGCTTGGCTGTAGACGATGGATCGTGTGGTGTGGTCAGGGTGAAAGCTGGAGGCATGCAGGTAGGAATAGCGGTCAGTAGGTTTCCGGTATAGGGTGGTGTTTATGTGACCATTGTTTATTAGCACTGTAGTGTCCAGGAAGTGGATCTCTTGTGTGGACTGGACCAGGCTGAGGTTGGTGGTGGGATGTCAAGAATTATAACATTCATAAACCAGTCGGAGAAAACTTCAATCTCTCTGGTCACGCAATCACAGACATGAAGGTCGCTATCTTAAAACAAAAAACTTCAAATCCAGACTCCAGCGAGAAACTGCTGAATTGAAATTCATTTGCAAATTGGATACTATTAATTTAGGCTTAAATAGAGACTGGGAGTGGCTAAGTCATTATGCAAGGTAGCCTATTTCCCCTTGTTTTTTCCTACCCCCCCCCCAGATGTTCTGGTTTAACTTGGATTTAAACTTGGAGAGTGGTCAGTTTGGATGAGCTATTACCAGCAGGAGAGTGAGTTTGTGTGTGTATGGGGGTGGGGTGTGTGTGTGAGAAAACCTGGATTTGTGCTGGAAATGGCCCACCTTGATTATCATGCACATTGTAGGGAGAGTGGTCACTTTGGATGAGCTATTACCAGCAGGATAGTGAGTTTGTGTGTGTGGTTTTTGGGAGGGGGGTGAGGGGGTGAGAGAACCTGGATTTGTGCAGGAAATGGCCCAACTTGATTATCATGCACATTGTGTAGAGAGTTGTCACTTTGGATGGGCTATCACCAGCAGGAGAGTGAATTTGTGTGGGGGGGTGGAGGGTGAGAAAACCTGGATTTGTGCTGGAAATGGCCCAATCTGATGATCACTTTAGATAAGCTATTACCAGCAGGACAGTGGGGTGGGAGGAGGTATTGTTTCATATTCTCTGTGTGTATATAAAGTCTGCTGCAGTTTCCACGGTATGCATCCGATGAAGTGAGCTGTAGCTCACGAAAGCTCATGCTCAAATAAATTGGTTTGTCTCTAAGGTGCCACAAGTACTCCTTTTCTTTCTCCTTACAATGTGTATGATAATCAAGTTGGGCCATTTCCAGCACAAATCCAGGTTTTCTCAACCCCCACACACATACACACACACACACACACACAAACCCAAACCATCTCAGTGCCATGTGAGTCCTCAGCTAACCAACTTAAAGGTGGGGCTGTGCGCTGTCTTTTTAAGAGAGCTGCAAAGTTACTGTGAGTGCTATGCTCAGGGGGATCTGACACTACGGGGCAGATGGCTTTGGGGAGACTCAGGTTTGGGGGCCGAGTTGGGGTGACTCTGAAAAGAGGAACCAAAGCTGGTGGAAGCCAGTGAGAGGTGCTGGTGCTGTGCACGGGCTGCTGGTGTGAAGGCTCTGAACCACGGCTGCACAACAGAGAGACACACCCAGGATTACAGGGCAGGCGGAGACACGGGTCTGGGTTGAACCCCACAGCATCACATCACTAGACCAGTTTGACTGGAGACCACTGCACTGGTATCACACACAGCACTGGAATTTGCTGACCGCAAAACAAAAGGAAATTTATTGGAAGAGACACAAGAGATCTAAACAGAAACAAGAGGAATGATGGAGTCACAAAACCAAAATCAGAAAGGTTGAACTAGGGCCTACCCTCATTAGAAGTTCTCTTTTCTATCTGATCAAACAGATGCTCACCCCAAAGTTCAGTCTGTCACAGGGAATGCTAGCCCCAAGGAGCCGGGCCCCTGCCTTCCACACACCACCCGGAGCAAAGTGAGACCATCTCGGAAGGGGACAAGGGATCCCCGCAGGAGAACTCAGTGACTCAGACAATCACTTTGCTAATGGGGGCTCAGAATCAATAAGATGCTCAGGGTCAGTTTGACTAGGAAGAGTGGGGGAGGGGCAGAGGACATGTGCTAGCTAATCCCCACCACTTCTCCCCCCACAAAAGGCCCAGTGGGAATCAGCCCCTCTCAGTGGTGCTGTCTGAATGCAGCGGGGGCAGGGAGAAGGGGCAGAGGGGGTGAGTGAGGAGAGGCACCATCTCTCTACCCCTGTGCTCTCCCTCGCCTCTTATCCCATCATCCCCAAACACTCGATACCCCAGCAAACAGGTTTCCCTGCTTACCACCAGCCCCAACCATTCCATCCCCAGTTTCCTCCCCACAACCCATCGGCCTGGTCCCTTAATGGTTGATCCCCCAGAACCCAGCGCCCTAGGGGATTTGGGGAGGGGAGGAGTTACCAGCCCCCAGGGACACTCCTCCTGCAGGGAACAGCTCCAGGTAAGTGGAAGAGCCCAGTCCAGGGGCTGGTAGAAGATGGGGGTTGGGGACAGGTGTGTAGAGTGAAGGTGGGGCCTGGCTCAAATGTCCTTCTCCTCATCACCACGACAGAGGGATCCTGTCTGGGAGGGGAAGGGAGAAGGGGGGAACTTCAGCCAGGCAGAGGGAGCAGCTGGAGGAGTTTCTTTCTCTCCCTTCCCCCACTTGTGGCTCATCAGCTCAGCAACCAGAGCTGCAGGAGGGAGGGGCTGATGGGGGCTTCTCCTCCTCTGCTTGGGGTTTGCTTAGACCAGGCAGACCCAGAGGGTCACTGGCCAGCTGCTGCTCGGCTGCTGCTGGATCCTCACCCCAGCGATGGGCAGCTGGATCCTTGGGAGCCAAACCCGGATGTGTGTGGGAAGGAGGAAATGGGTTTGTCACCATGGCCAGCCCCAGTCAGGGCCCTGAGAGAATTTCCCCCATGTGTGGAGGAGTCTCTGATGTCCAGCATGGTGTTAACTCCACTTGGAGCATTTTCCATGCTAAAGGAAGCAAATCAGGGTCTGTCTACACAGCAACTAGGCACCTGCTGTGGTTGGTCCGTACCAGCTGACTTGGGCTCACGGGGATCTTTCATTGCTATATAGATCTCCAGGCTTATTCTGGAGCCTTCTCTCTAGGACCTGCGAGGTGGGAGGGTCCCAGAGCCCAGGCTCCAGCCCATGCCCCGAAGTTCACGTAGGAATGAACCAGCCCTGTAGCCCCAGCCCCACGAGCCTGAGTCGGCTGTCATGGGTCAGCTGCAGGTTTTTCTTTGCTGTGCAGACAGACCCTGAGAGGTCTCTACCCTGAGTGGGTTTGCTGATGCTTTATACTCCCCAGAGCACCAGATGAAGCTTCCCCCACATTCAAAGTCTCCCTCTTGTGGGGACTCTTCAATATATGATGATGGGTGAGCTCTGACTGAATCTTTCCCACAGTCAAGGTATTTCTAAGAGCTTTCCCCCGTGTGGAGCCGCTGATGTTTCAGTGAGCGTTGAGCTGTTCTTGAAGCTTTTCCTGCAGTCCAAGCCTTTTGGGTTTCCTCTCTTTTGTGGATCATCTCACGTGAAATCAGGTTTGATCTCCACATCAAACTTTTCCCTGTAGTTGAGGCATTTGTGAGGTTTGTCTCCAGTATGGATTTTCTGATGTCTGATATGGGTTGACCTCTGAGTGAAACTTTTCCCACAGTCGAGGCATTTGTGGGGTTTATCTCCAGTATGGATTTTGTGATGTCTCGTAAGAGTTGATCTCTGAGTGAAACTTTTCCCACAGTCGAGGCATTTGGAGATTCTCTCTCCTGTGTGGATTCTCTGATGTTTAAGAAGGTCTGAGCTGTCACGGAAGCTTTTCCCACAATCCAAGCATTTATGGGGTTTCTCTCTTTTGTGACTCATGTCACGTGAAATCAGGTTTGAACTCTGAATGAAACTTTTTCCACAATCCAACCATTTATGGGGTTTCTCTCTTTTGTGGATCATTTCATGTGAAATCAGGTTTGATCGCTGAATGAAACTTTCCCCACAGTCCAAGCATTTATAGAGTTTCTCTCCTGAGTGGATTTTCTGGTGTGTAGTAAGGGCTGATCTCTGAATGAAACTTTTCCCACAGTCGAGGCATTTGTGGGGATTATCTCCAGTATGGATTTTCTGATGTCTGGTAAGAGTTGATCTCTGAGTGAAACTTTTCCCACAGTCGAGGCATTTGTAGATTCTCTCTCCCGTGTGGATTCTCTGATGTTTAAGAAGGTCTGAGCTGTCACGGAAGCTTTTCCCACAATCCAAGCATTTATGGGGTTTCTCTCCTTTGTGGATCATCTCATGTGAAATCAGGTTTGATTGCTGAGTGAAACTTTCCCCACAGTCCAAGGATTCATAGAGTTTCTCTCCTGTGTGGATTTTCTGGTGTGTAGCAAAGGCAGATCTCCGAATGAAGCTTTTCCCACAGTCCAAGCACTTGTGGGGTTTCTCTCCTGTGTGGATTTTCTCATGTGAACTAAGGGTTGATCTGTGGGTGAAACTTTTCCCACAGTCAAGGCATTTGTGAGGTTTATCTCCAGTGTGGATTCTCTGATGTCTGAGAAGGATGGATCTCTGAGCGAAACTGTTCCCACAGTTGAGACACTTATAGGGTCTCTCTCCTGTGTGCACTCTCTGATGCGTAATAAGGTGTGAGCTCTGACTGAAGCTTTTCCCACAGTCCAGGCATTTATAAGGTCTCTCTCCTGTGTGGATTCTCTGATGAGTGATAAGGTTCGATTTCTGATTGAAGCTTTTCCCACAGTTGACACACTTATAGGGTTTCTCTTCCTTGGGATTTGTCTGCGCGGCTGTGTTTTTCCTGGGGTCCTTGCATCCTATCCCATATTCAACCGATTCATCCTCTTTCTTCACTGGGTGGTTTCCCCGCTGCCTCTCTGATCTCTGCTGGCTCCTCCAAGCTTCTCCCTGTTCCAAGGTTTGGGAAAAATTCCCTTCAGCTCCTCTCAGAAAGTTCCCCTGCAGTTCCACTTGCTCGGGATCTTCCTGTTGTGGATTCTTCCCCTTGTTCTCACTCATCATCATCTCATCAACTGCTAGGGGAGAGAAAGAATCCAGATAGGAGTCATTCCCTGTGGCGGGGAGAAAGGACAGAACGGGGAAGAGCACAGAGGGAAAAATACTACACAGTAACTGTAGGGGAGACGGAGAAATTGGATTCTGCCTCCACAACCCATCTACACACTGCCAGGGAAGAAAAGTCAGGGAGGAAACTCCATACAGCTAAAGGATGGGTGGGAAGCCATAGGTGATCTCTGCCGTGATGATACCATACTGGCTGGCTACAGCCTGACTGGGTGAGGTGAAACACACCCCAGGGAGCTGGCTAACAGCCCACCTTCGGGAGTCCCAGCTTTTTCATTCACTTGCCAGATGGTTTGTGTGTCAGTTTCACCAATTCCTCACCTGTGCGGCTGCCTCTTGGGATCTCCGATTCCTCAGAGGTCTGAATATCCAGGACCCACGGCTCTTCCCCTTGTTCCAGCCGGGCGATCAGGTCAGGTTTGAGAATGGGAAATCCTGCTCAGGGAGGGAAATCAGGAAGATGAGGGTGTATTTCGAGTATTGAAAGAGTATTTGTCACAAAGAACATCCCTGAATATTAACCTGCCCCGTGCTGAGCTGGGGGATTGTGGAATCCAAAAGGACGGGAACACGGTCAATGTAATTACGCAGATGTGGAATGTTAACAAATTGGGACATGGCCTCTGAGCCCCCAGGGAGAGGCAGATGTCTGTCGGGGAAGTAGCTGTCACAGCATCGCTGGGGGTTTCCAGGATCTGTGCACTCTGGGGGACTTGCTGATTCAGACACAGTTATGATATTAAACCCCTGCCTAGTTCTAAACCTCCAGAGCCCTCTGGCTGCAGCCAGTTCCAGCTATGGGGGATCATAGGGGATGGTGAGTGTAAAATAAGAGACACAAGGTGGGTGACATAACACTCCTCAACACTCGAAACCCAAAGTATCTTTTCTTGGGCCAACTCCTGTGGGTGAACATAAGAACAGCCTCACTGGGTCAGACCAAAGGTCCATCTTGCCCAGTATCCTGTCTACCAACAGTGGCCAATGCCAGCTGCTTCAGAGGGAATGAACAGAACAGGTGATCATTAAATGATCCAAAACAATAAAAAACAAGCTTCAAAAGCTTCTCTCTTTCATCAACCAAATTTGGTCCATTCAAAGGTACTGCCTTCCCCACTTTGTGTCTGTCTACCATGGGATGAACAGGCCCATACCAACAGTACAAACAAGTGAGAAATAATAGACACAGGACCATACCCTGCTTCTGCCCCTTTGAAAACTGGATGGATGGGGTGAATTAGCATGTCAATTAGGTTTATGATTCCCCGATCCCATTGGAGGTGGCATGGAGATGAAAGTCTCTCTCACACTAGATCTATGGACTCTGGGATCCATTTGCCTCTAATCTAACTGAGCAGGGAAGAACTGACCAGTTTCATACATGCAGACCTCCCAGCTTGTAATAATTAAGGGCACAGGAATCCCTTACCCAGTGAGGTCACCATCTCGTAGTTCTCCTGCATGACGTCCCAGTAGAGGGCTCTCTGAGCGGGGTCCAGCAGAGCCCCCTGCCCCTGGGTGAAATACACAGCCACCTGCTCGAAGGTAACCGGCATCTGAAACAACAAGAGTCCCCCCTCAGTGCCTGCTGCCCCAGCCACAATCCCAGGAGTCACACAGGAGGAAGGATAAAGAAATGGAAGCTCTGGGAAGACCAGAGTAGTAGAATCCCACCCCAGCCTGCTCAGAGCAGCCAGGAGGCTTCAGGGGGTGGGAGAAGGCGAGAGCTCCTTGTCTCCCCAGCACACGGAGCAGGGCAGGGTCTTCTCATTTCCCACTCGCCTGCCAGCCACAGGCTGATACGGGAAGCAGAGCTCTGAGCCGGGGGCAGGGACAGGAATCCTGACAGCTTCCCTTCGTATTTCACAGCAGCCTCTGGCCAGTGGGGTCAGGCTCCAGCACTGGGAGTCTGGTCACTTTTCCCAGCCCTGCCCAGGGGCGTTTCCTGGTTCAGAAATGGGGGAATGTTCCCCCCTGACCATGGGCCTGTTCAGAAAATCAGGCCCAGGTTAAACATTTCCCAGCAGGTTTATCACACCCTCAACCCTTCCTGCCTCACCCTGTGTCTTTCCTGCCCCTCCTCCTCTACAGCAATCCCCCCTGCAGCTCCCTGAAAATCCCCTGCCTGAGCTGGCTCCATCACAGCCATTTCCCTTCCCTGTCCCCTGGAAGACGGGAGGATCTGGAGCGAAACTTGGACGTGATTCTTCAGCCTGTCAGGGCGAGAGGGGCGACGACGGGGGGAGGTTTCAGAAGGGGCTTGAGTCCATTTCACACCCCGATTCCCCACTGGCTCTCTCCCTGCAGACAGACTGGTCCTGCAGGCTCCAGCTCAGGATTTGGTGAGGGCAGAGCTCGGGGCTCCCCCTGGGGCTGGTTCCAGCCACCGGAGAAAGTCCCCTCCTGGGCTGGGCACATAGGGGGATTAATGAAGGTCTCTTCCCAGAACTGACCCCACTGGGGGAGCAGCAGCTGCTCAGTCTGGACTCCCAGATCACAATGGAGGAGGCAGCAGCATCTGCCCCAGGAAGCTCAACTCCAGGGCTCTAATATCAGGAGCAGACAGAGACATACCAGCCTCCTCCTCTCCCTTAGCAATAGCCAGAGCCCTCTAGTTTGGTGACCACACCTGATGAATGAGCTGCCCTGGACTCCCCCGGCAGCCCCCAGGGACAGCTGATCTCATCGGCCCAACTGGACTCACCCCCTGCCAGAGCCAGCAGTGACGGGGTCTGACACTGGTGTGGCTGAGATCTGAATCCATGGCATGGGGAAGCTGCCGTTGTCCCTCTCACCACCGCTCTCCCTTTTCACTGGCCTCTCTCTTCCTTCCCCAGCCAGCCTCCTCTTGCTCTCCCATTCCCCTTCCGGCCTCCCCAGTCCCCTCTCCCCACATCGCCCCCTTTTCCTTCACTAGTTCCCACCACCCAGATTTCCCTCTATTCCAGCCCTGTGTCCTGTGGGCTCCACAATTCTCCCCTGTACAGTGATCATAGAATCATAGAATATCAGGGTTAGAAGGGACCTCAAGAGGTCATCTAGTCCAACCCCCTGCTCAAAGCAGGACCAATCCCCAATTAAATCATCCCAGCCAGGGCTTTGTCAAGCCTGACCTTAAAAACTTCTAAGGAAGGAGATTCTACCACCTCCCTAGGTAACGCATTCCAGTGTTTCACCACCCTTCTAGTGAAAAAGTTTTTCCTAATATCCAACCTAAACCTCCCCCACTGCAACTTGAGACCATTACTCCTTGTCCTGTCCTCTTCTACCACTGGGAATAGTCTAGAACCATCCTCTCTGGAACCACCTCTCAGATAGTTGAAAGCAGCTATCAAATCCCCCCTCATTCTTCTCTTCTGCAGACTAAACAATCCCAGTTCCCTCAGCCTCTCCTCATAAGTCATGTGTTCCAGACCCCTAATCATTTTTGTTGCCCTTCGCTGGACTCTCTCCAATTTATCCACATCCTTCTTATAGTGTGGGGCCCAAAACTGGACACAGTACTCCAAATGAGGCCTCACCAATGTCGAATAGAGGGGAACGATCACGTCCCTCGATCTGCTCGCTATGCCCCTACTTATACATCCCAAAATGCCATTGGCCTTCTTGGCAACAAGGGCACACTGCTGACTCATATCCAGCTTCTCGTCCACTGTCACCCCTAGGTCCTTTTCCGCAGAACTGCTGCCTAGCCATTCGGTCCCTAGTCTGTAGCTGTGCATTGGGTTCTTCCGTCCTAAGTGCAGGACCCTGCACTTATCCTTATTGAACCTCATCAGATTTCTTTTGGCCCAATCCTCCAATTTGTCTAGGTCCCTCTATATCCTATCCCTGCCCTCCAGCATATCTACCACTCCTCCCAGTTTAGTATCATCCGCAAATTTGCTGAGAGTGTAATCCACACCACCCTCCAGATCATTTATGAAGATATTGAACAAAACCGGCCCCAGGACCGACCCCTGGGGCACTCCACTTGACACCGGCTGCCAACTAGACATGGAGCCATTGATCACTACCTGTTGAGCCCGACGATCTAGCCAACTTTCTACCCACCTTATAGTGCATTCATCCAGCCCATACTTCTTTAACTTGCTGACAAGAATACTGTGGGAGACCGTGTCAAAAGCTTTGCTAAAGTCAAGAAACAATACATCCACTGCTTTCCCTTCATCCACAGAACCAGTAATCTCATCATAGAAGGCGATTAGATTAGTCAGGCATGACCTTCCCTTGGTGAATCCATGCTGACTGTTCCTGATCACTTTCCTCTCATGTAAGTGCTTCAGGATTGATTCCTTGAGGACCTGTTCCATGATTTTTCCGGGGACTGAGGTGAGGCTGACTGGCCTGTAGTTCCCAGGATCCTCCTTCTTCCCTTTTTTAAAGATTGGCACTACATTAGCCTTTTTCCAGTCATCTGGGACTTCCCCCGTTTGCCGCGAGTTTTCAAAGATAATGGCCAATGGCTCTGCAATCACAGCCGCCAATTCCTTTAGCACTCTCGGATGCAACTCGTCCGGCCTCATGGACTTGTGCACGTCCAGCTTTTCTAAATAGTCCCTAACCACCTCTTTCTCCACAGAGGGCTGGCCATCTATTCCCCATGTTGTGATGCCCAGCGCAGCAGTCTGGGAGCTGTCCTTGTTCGTGAAGACAGAGGCAAAAAAAGCATTGAGCACATTAGCTTTTTCCACATCCTCTGTCACTAGGTTGCCTCCCTCATTCAGTAAGGGGCCCACACTTTCCTTGACTTTCTTCTTGTTGCCAACATACCTGAAGAAACCCTTCTTGTTACTCTTGACATCTCTTGCTAGCTGCAGCTCCAGATGCGATTTGGCCCTCCTGATTTCATTCCGACATGCCCGAGCAATATTTTTATACTCTTCCCTGGTCATATGTCCAACCTTCCACTTCTTGTAAGCTTCTTGTTTATGTTTAAGAACTGCTAGGATTTCACCGTTAAGCCAAGCTAGAGCCTACCATATTTACTACTCTTTCGACTCATCGGGATGGTTTGTCCCTGTAACCTCAACAGGGATTCCTTGAAATACAGCCAGCTCTCCTGGACTCCTTTCCCCTTCATATTAGTCCCCCAGGGGATCCTACCCATCAGTTCCCTGAGGGAGTCGAAGTCTGCTTTCCTGAAGTCCAGGGTCTGTATCCTGCTGCTTACCTTTCTTCCCTGTGTCAGGATCCTGAACTCAACCAACTCATGGTCACTGCCTCCCAGATTCCCATCCACTTTTGCTTCCCCCACTAATTCTTCCCTGTTTGTGAGCAGCAGGTCAAGAAAAGCTCCCCCCAGTTGGCTCGTCTAGCCCTTGCACCAGGAAATTGTACCCTATGCTTTCCAAAAACTTCCTGGATTGTCTATGCACCGCTGTATTGCTCTCCCAGCAGATATCAGGAAAATTAAAGTCACCCATGAGAACCAGGGCGTGTGATCTAGTAGCTTCTGCGAGTTGCCGGAAGAAAGCCTCATCCACCTGGTCCAGTGGTCTATAGCAGACCCCCACCACTACATCACTCTTGTTGCTCACACTTCTAAACTTAATCCAGAGACACTCAGGTTTTTCTGCAGTTTCCTACCGGAGCTCTGAGCAGTCATACTGCTCCCTTACATTCAGTGCTACTCCCCCACCTTTTCTGCCCTGCCTGTCCTTCCTGAACAGTTTATATCCATCCATGACAGTACTCCAGTCATGTGAGTTATCCCACCAAGTCTCTGTTATTCCGATCACATCATAATTCCTGCCTTGCCTCATTCTCCATGCAGCGCCCCCACTGCCCCCTACCCCCTCACACCTCCCTTCCCACCTATAAATCCCCTCCTGTCCTCCCACCTCCAGTCCCTCTTCAGCCCCCTCCCGGCTCCCTCCCACGTGTGGCTGTCCCAGCCCCTGGCTCCCCCGGCCCGCACACGCCAGGGGCTGGCGGCAGCTTTCCCAGGCCCGGGGCAGGGAATCGCAGCCAGCTCCGCGGGGAGCAGCCCGGGGCCAAACCCGCCCCCTGCAGCCCGGGGGTGACGGGGGGGGGGGCGCGGGTCTCTCTTACCTTCCCTCCGAGCGGGGCCCCCCGGGGCAGGGGCCGGGCCGGGAAGGGGCCCTGGCCGGGCTGGGGGCTCTGCCCTGGGAGAGGCTCCCGGGGAGCAGCGGGCAGGGCCCGGCTGGAGGTTCCCCTCTCCCGGCTGCAGCCCGGGCTCCGGGCTCCCAGCACCAGCCGCCGGGGCTCGGGGATCTCGCCGGGAGCCAGAGTCCCCGCAGCGGCAACGAAATCCGAATCCGATTCACTTGCTGGCTCGCAGGCAGCTCCTCCTGGGTCCTAGCGAGAAGCGGATTCCATTGCCCTGCAGCCCCCCCCCCCCCCTCACAGACCCTGCCTCTTGGGGGCCCCACCTCCCCTTGGCTCCCGCAGCTTCTCTCCGCATCAAGGAGGCATCGTGCACAGAGGCCAATGAGGCTGTGGGAGGACAGACAGGAGACCCAGATCCCGGGGGCTGGGGGTTCTGTGGGGACTGGGCATTGTTCCAGAGAGTCCCCAAGCCCGCGCCGCTTCCCGCAGCTCCCATTGGCCAGGAACGGCGACCCACGGCCACTGGGAACTGCAAGTGGCCGTACCTGCCGAACAAAGTGTCTCACGGCCCACCAGGGGCTTACCCAGAACAAGCCACAAACCAAGTTTGGGAACCACTGATCTACAGGAACACAGGGGTGATCGGGGTCCTGGTCCTAGAGAGACAGTCCAGAGCTAAGAAGAAGTCTGGTGGTACCTTAGAGACTAACAGATTGATTTGGGCATAAGCTTTCGTGGGTAAAACACCACTTCTTCAGATGCAGTCCAGACCTAGAGCTGCAGGCGAAATGTTTCTCAATGACACTGACTCTGTCTATGATCCACTCTGGTAACAGACTGGCACAGGGAGCAGCTGATCAGAGCTGGTCTCTTCTCTCCACACCAGGCTCACTGGCTACCAGCCCTGGGCCAGAGATACCAGCTCGGGTCATGGAGGTTTCAGAGCTTTGCCACCAGGTTCCTGGAGTTATTTGTAGGGCTGGATTAACCCATCCCTAGGTTCTAGGCCAAACCTTCTCATGTCTGCCCCCCCCCCCCCCCACCTCCGACCAGGGATCCCTTCTGCTCCTCTCCCGGCTGGCTCCCCCATGTGGGCACTGACTGCAGCTCTCTCTCACACACCTGCACATCACCAGCAAACTCCAGCAGGTCTGGTTCAGGGACTGGTGCTCTGCTTACTTCTGCCCTGGTGCACGGGGATCACAGCACAACTCACTCCATTTCGACCCTGGCCCCCAGGTGCCGACAGCAGGTGCCAACAGCACTCACTCGAGTTTGCCCTGGTGCCCCCTCTTCTGAAATGGGGGCTGGCCTGGGATATTCCAGAGTGCGCAGTGGGGCAGCCAGCACTGCTCCTTCTCCCCAAGGAGCAGGCTCCTGTGCGACCCCCAACACACACAGGAATAGGGTTTTAGGTACCTGCCTATATGGCCTGTCCCTTAATCCAGCCCTGACTGCACTGGGTCCCTCCAGGGTTGGGGGTCTGGAGGGGAGGGGAGTGGGGGGAGTTGATTCAGTAGCTGTTGTATCCAGAGGTAGGAAAGAGAGACAGAGGAGGCTGCTCTCAATCTGTCTCTGTTTTTTGTCCTGGGTCACAAGCTCCATTGGGATCTGGGAGCTTGGACTGAGCAGCTGCTGCTCCCCCAACAGGGTCTGTGCTGGGAAGAGATCTTCATCAAAGGCCCCTCTGTGCCCAGCCAGGGTGGGACATTCACTAGGCCAGACCAGAGCGAAAGACTGACTCTGCAGTCTGGGGGTTGGGGCACCGTCTGGGAGGGCCTCTCCCCTTTCCCAAGGACTCTGCAATGAAATCCAAAGTAAAACAGGAAATGGCGGAAGCCTGACATTGGGAGACCCCATGGTGAGAGCACTGCCCTGAGAGCTGTGGGTATCCCCTGAACCTGGGTCTCCTACATCAGGTTGGCTGCTCTGACTCCTGGGCTAAGAGTTTCCAGGAGGAATCACCCCATGCTCCCTTCTGCTGGTGTTTCTGGGTGGCATTTGACATTATTCTCACAAAAGCACAAGCATCTGGGCCCCAACACTCCAGCAGAGGGGTTCCCAGTGGTGCATTTGCAGGCAGAGAGAGGTGCTGGGAGGCTGCTCAGAGCACCCAGGGCTGGGATTCACCTCACTTCCAGCTGCCTCCGATGCCAGGAATCTTGCCTTTGCCAGCTGGGTGTTAGCCCCCTACCAGCCTCAGCCACTGGAGTGCTCTCCCCTGGGCTACACCAGCCCTGCCTTTGCCCTGCAGGGTAACAACAGCTCCCAGCCCCTGAGTCCCTTCAAAGTCTGCCCCTGGGGTCCCCAGCCCCTATCCCTGGATACCCACAGAAATCCCTGATTTGCAGCTCCCCAAGAACCAGTGCACCTCTCCGACCCTGCGAGCATCCCAATGCCAGAGGCTCCCTGGGAGCTGGCAGTGAGTTTCAGCTGCCTTGACCAGCCCAACTCACTGGGGCCATGATCAGTACGTAAAAGTTGTCACTGGAAACTAACAACTCACTGATCAGCCAGATTCTGGCCTGATATACCTACTGGCAATACCTGAAGCATTAGAAACACCTGCTGCAAGATGTTCTTAAAATGTGTTTCAGAGTAGCAGCCATGTTAGTCTGTATTCGCAAAAAGAAAAGGAGGACTTGTGGCACCTTAGAGACTAACCAATTTATTTGAGCATAAGCTTTCATGCATCCGATGAAGTGAGCTGTAGCTCACGAAAGCTTATGCTCAAATAAATTGGTTAGTCTCTAAGGTGCCACAAGTACTCCTTTTCTTTTTAAAATGTGTTGTCAGGCAAGGCTTACATCACCCCTCCCCCCCAGGCAAAGGAATGTGGTTCTTCCCCCTGCTTGCATGTGTCTGCAATGTAAATGGAGCGAGGACAATGATATGACATTTACATGAAGGGCAGACAAAGCCAGCAGGCAAACCAGTGTGGAAGACGCCACTTCCCACTCTCATGGGAGATGGAAGCCGCAACTGCAGAAAAACTTCCTGCCTCCTGAAGTGAAGTCATTGACCTTTGGAAGCAATAAGGACGGATAAGATTAATTCATGGAAGTTACAGATTCCATGACATTCAGAGACCTCTACGATATTTTCCATTTCAGAGGCGGAGGGTCCCCTGGGGCTCTCAGCTGCAGTGGGGCACTTGGAGCTGTCAGCCACTCCGCAGCAGGGAGGATTGGGCTCTCATCATCCCCCCCCTCCCAAAAAAAAACCCCTCGAGCTTCAGTCGTCACCCCGTAAACCTCCCTCCATTACTTTTAGTAAAAGTCACAGACAGGTTTCCGTGATTTTTTGTTTATTGCCCGTGACCTGTCCATGAGTTTTACTAAAAATAGCCATGATAAAATGTGAACCTTAGATATAACCAGGACGCAAAGCCAGCTTGGCATCCATTACTGGGCCAATGGGACTACCACTGGGCCGAGCTCCTGTACATCTGAGAAAAGTGGAACTTTCCAGCCAAGGGGGTCGAAAGTCCCCAGTCACTGAATGTAGGCAAGACACCTGCTGAGACCAAGACATGGCCTCACTGAAGATAAATGTAGTCACTAGAAAGCACATTTTGTTTGTAACCTCCCTGGCCCTTTCACTCTTACCAGACATCCCTTAACCCTATGGTCAATGGGAATAAACTTATTTTTAGTTTTAAAACAAACCATCTCAGTGCTGCAGATCACAGTGAAGTGCAAGTCGTCAGCTAACCTAACAGGGTGGGGCTCTGCGCTGTCTCTTTAAGAGAGCAGCAAAGTTACTAAGTTCTGTGAGTGTTACGTTCAGGAGGATCAGACACTACAGGGCAGCCGGTTTTGGGGAGACTCAGGTTTGGGGGGCGAGTTGGGGTGACTCTGGAGTTACCAGCCCCCAGGGACACTCCCCCTGCAGGGAACAGTTCCAGGTCAACTGGGGAGCCCAGCCCATGGGCTGGTGGAAGATGGGGGATGGGGACAGGTGTAGAGTGAAGGTGGGGCCTGGCCCAAATGTCCTTCTCCTCATCTCCATGGCAGGGGGATCCTGTCTGGAAGGGGAAGGGAAAAGGGGGAACTTCTCCAGCGGCTCCCTCTGCCTGGCTGGAGTTTCTCTCTCTCCCTTCCCCCACCAGCTCAGCAACCAGGGCTGCAGGAGGGAGGAGGGGCTGATGGGGGCTTCTCCTCCTCTGCTTGGGGTTTGCTTAGACCAGGCAGACCCAGAGGGTCACTGGCCAGCTGCTGCTCGGCTGCTGCTGGATCCTCACCCCAGCGATGGGCAGCTGGAACCTTGGGAGCCAAACCTGGATGTGTGTGGGAAGGAGGAAATGGGTTTGTCACCATGGCCAGCCCCAGTCAGGGCCCTGAGAGAATTTCCCCCATGTGTGGAGGAGTCTCTGATGTCCAGCATGGTGTTAACTCCACTTGGAGCATTTTCCATGCTAAAGGAAGCAAATCAGGGTCTGTCTACACAGCAACTAGGCACCTGCTGTGGTTGGTCCGTACCAGCTGACTTGGGCTCACGGGGTTCTTTCATTGCTATATAGATTTCCAGGCTTATTCTGGAGCCTTCTCTCTAGGACCTGCGAGGTGGGAGGGTCCCAGAGCCCAGGCTCCAGCCCATGCCCCGAAGTTCACGTAGGAATGAACCAGCCCTGCAGCCCCAGCCCCACGAGCCTGAGTCGGCTGTCATGGGTCAGCTGCAGGTTTTTCTTTGCTGTGCAGACAGACCCTGAGAGGTCTCTACCCTGAGTGGGTTTGCTGATGCTTTATACTCCCCAGAGCACCAGATGAAGCGTCCCCCACATTCAAAGTCTCCCTCTTGTGAGGACTCTTCAATATATGATAATGGGTGAGCTCTGACTGAATTTTTTCCTGAAGTGAAGGTATTCCTAAGAGCAACAGCCGTGTTAGTCTGTATTCGCAAAAAGAAAAGGAGGACTTGTGGCACCTTAGAGACTAACCAATTTATTTGAGCATGAGCTTTCGTGAGCTACAGCTGCAAATAAATTGGTTAGTCTCTAAGGTGCCACAAGTCCTCCTTTTCTTATTCCTAAGAGCTATCTCTTGTGTGGAGTCTCCAATGTTTAGCAAGCTTTGAGCTGTTCTTGAAGCTTTTCCCACAGTCCAAGCCTTTATGGGTGTCTTCTCTCTTCTGCATCGTCTCATATAACCCTCAGGAAACTTTCCCCCACAGTCGAGGCGTTTGTGGGGTTTATCTCCAGTATGGATTTTCTGATGTCTCGTAAGGGTTGATCTGTGAGTGAAACTTTTCCCACAGTCGAGGCATTTGTAGATTTTCTCTCCTGTGTGGATTCTCTGATGTTTAAGAAGGTCTGAGCTGTGACGGAAGCCTTTCCTGCACTCCAAGCATTTATGGGGTTTCTCTCCTTTGTGGATCATCTCATGTGAAATCAGGTTTGATCGCTGAGTGAAACTTTTCCCACAGTCCAAGCATTTATAGAGTTTCTCTCCTGTGTGGATTTTCTGGTGTGTAGTAAGGGCCGATCGCTGAATGAAGCTTTTCCCACAGTCCAAGCACTTGTGGGGTTTCTCTCCTGTGTGAGTTTTCTCATGTGAAGTAAGGGTTGATCTGTGGGAGAAACTTTTCCCACAGTCGAGGCATTTGTGAGGTTTATCTCCAGTGTGGATTCTCTGATGTCTGAGAAGGATGGATCTCTGAGCGAAACTGTTCCCACAGTTGAGACACTTATAGGGTCTCTCTCCTGTGTGCACTCTCTGATGCGTAATAAGGTGTGAGCTCTGACTGAAGCTTTTCCCACAGTCCAGGCATTTATAAGGTCTCTCTCCCGTGTGGATTCTCCCATGTTTAATAAGCTGTGAGCTGTCACTGAAGGTTTTCCCACAGACCAAGCATTTATGGGGTTTCTCTCCAGTGTGGGTTCTCTGATGTGTAGTCAGGGCTGATATCAAATTGAATCTTTTCCCACACTCTAGGCATTTATAAGGTCTCTCTCCTGTGTGGATTCTCCCATGTTTCATTAGGGATGAGCTCTTGGTAAAACTTTTCCCACACTCATCGCATTTATACGGTCTCTCACCTGTGTGTTTTCTCTGATGTATAATGAGGGATGATCTCTGGTTGAAGCTTTTCCCACAGTCCAAGCACTTATGGGTTTTTTCGCCTGTGTGGATTCTCTGATGAGTGATAAGGTTCGATTTCTGACTGAAGTTTTTCCCACAGTTGAGACATTTATACGGTGTCTCTTCCTTGGGATTTGTCTGTGAGGCTGTGGTTTCCTTGGGATTTTTGCATCCTACCCCACATTCAATGGATTTATCCTCTTTCTTCATTGGGTGGTTTCCCCGCTGCCCCTCTGACCTCTGCCGACTTCTCCAAGCTTTTCCCTGTTCCAAGGATTGGGAAAAATTCCCTTCCGCTCCTCTCAGAAAGTTCCCCTGCAGTTCCACTTGCTCGGGATCTTCCTGTTGTGGATTCTTCTTCTTGTTCTCACTCATCATCATCTCATCACCTGTTGGGAGAGAGAGAGAGTCCGGGCAGGAGTCATTCCCTGTGCCAGGGAGAAAGGACAGAACAGGGAGCAGCAAAGTGGGGAAAACACTACACAGTAACTGTTGGGGAGACGGAGAAATTGGATTCTGCCTCCATCTCCTATCCAAACCCTCTTAGGGAAGAAAAGTTGAGGAGGAAACTTCATACTGCTAAAGGATGGGTGGGAAGCCATGGTGATATCTGCCATGATAATACCATACCAGCTGGCTACAGCCTGACTGGGTGGGGTGAGACACACCTCGAGGAGATCGGTAGCAGCCCACCTTTGGGAGTCTCAGCTTTTTCATTCACTCGCCAGATGGTTTGTGTGTCAGTTTCACAAATTCCTCTTGGGACCTCCGATTCCTCCGGAGCCTGGAGATCCGGGACCCACGGCTCTTCCCCTTGTTCAAGCCGGGCGATCAGGTCAGGTTTGGGAATGGGAAATCCTGCTCGGGGTGGGGGAGGCGGAGGGAAATCAGGAAGATGAAGGTGCATGGAGTATTGAGAGAGTATTTGTCACAAGGAACATTCCCTGAGTTTAACCTGCCCCATGCTGAGCTGGGAGATTGTGGAATCCAAAAGGACGGGAACATGGTCCATGTAATTACGCAGATGTGGAATCTTAACAAACTGGGACATGGCCTCTGAGCCCCCAGGGAGAGGCAGATGTCTGTCGGGGAAGGAGCTGTCACAGCATCGCTGGGGGTTTCCAGGGTCTGTGCACTCTGGGGGACTTGCTGATTCAGACACAGCTCTTGTGTTAAACCCCTACCTAGTTCTAAACCTCCATAAGTTCCAGAGCCCTCCACAGGGCTGTAAGAATGGAGGATCACAAGGATAGAGAGTGTAAAATAAGAGACACAAGGTGGGTGACGTATTATCTTTTCTTGGGCCAACTCCTGTGGGTGAACATAAGAATGGCCATACTGGGTCAGACCAGTGGTCCATCTAGCCCAGTATCCTGTCTTCCAACAGTGGCCAATGCCAGCTGCTTCAGAGGGAATGAACAGAACAGGTGATCATTAAATGATCCAAAACAATAAAAAAACAAGCTTCAAAATCTTCTCTCTTTCACCAACCAAATTTGGTCCAATCAAAGGTACTGCCTTCCCCACCTTGTGTCTGTCTATCATGGGATGAACAGGCCCACACCAACTGCACAAACAAGTGAGAAATAATACACACAAGACAATACGGGGCTTCTTCCCCTTTAAAAGCTGGATGGATGGGGATGAATTAGCGTGTCCATTAGGTTTATGATTCCCAGATCCCATTGAAGGTGGCATGGAGATGAAAGTCTCTCTCACACTAGATCTATGGACTCTGGGATCTATTTGCCTCTAATCTAACTGAGCCGGGAAGAACTGACCAGTTTCATACACACAGACCTCCCAGCTTGTAATAATTAAGGGCACAGGAATCCCTTACCCAGCGAGGTCACCATCTCGTAGTTCTCCTGCATTACGTCCCTGTAGAGGGCTCTCTGAGCAGGGTCCAGCAGAGCCCCCTGCCCCTGGGTGAAATACACAGCCACCTCCTCGAAGGTCACCAGCATCTGGAACAACAAGAGTCCCCCCTCAGCGCCTGCTGCCCCAGTCACAATCCCACTGTTCATTGGGGGTGGGGGTGGGGGGGAGGGAGAAAGTCAATAAAGAGAAAGCTCTGCAAGGGCCAGAGTATGACAATCCAACAGCCATTTCTCTTCTCTGTCCCCTGGAAGACGGGACGATCTGGAGTGAAACGTGGACGTGATTCTTCAGCCTGTCGCGATGAGAGGGGCAATGGGGAGGTTTCAGAAGGGGCCTGAGTCTATTTCACACCCTGATTCCCCCTGGCTCTCTCCCAGGAGGCTCCAGCTCAGGATTTGGTGAGGGCAGAGCTCGGGGCTCCCACCGGGGCTGGTTCCAGCCACCGGAGAAAGTCCCCATCTGGGCTGGGCACAGAAGGGGATTAATGAAGGTCTCTCCCCAGAACAGATCCCACTGGGGGAGCAGCAGCTGCTCAGTCTGGACTTGAGTTCATTTTGCATCCCGGTTCCCCCCAGCCTCTCTCCCTGCAGACAGACACTCTAGACTTTGCCACGGTGGGAATATACTCAGGTTATGTCCGCGCTACAGGCAGACTGCTACAGCTCTGTAATGTGGAGAGTGCCTTCAGCAATGAAAGGGGTTTGTGCATCTGTGTGGATAAACCACCTCTCCAATTGACTGTAGCTCGTTCAATGGAAGAATTAACCCATCTATTAAGCTGCATCCATAATGTAGGTCAGGTTTAAAACAAATAAAAGGAAGTATTTCTTCACACAACGCACAGTCACCCTGTGGAACTCTTTGCCAGAGGATGTTATGGAGGCCAAGACCATAACAGGGTTCAAAAAAGAACTAGATAAGTTCATGGAGGACAGGTCCATCAGTGGCTATTAGCCAGGCTGGTAGGGATGGTGTCCCTAGCCTCTGTTTGCCAGAAGCTGGGAATGAGCAACAGGGGCTGGATAACTGGATGATTACCTGTCCTGTTCATTCCCTCTGGGGCACCTGGCATTGGCCACTGTTGGGAGACAGGACACTGGACTTGTCATAAATATAAAGGGAAGGGTAAACCCCTTTGAAATCCCTCCTGGCCAGGGGAAAGCTCCTCTCACCTGTAAAGGGTTAAGAAGCTAAAGGTAACCTCGCTGGCACCTGACCAAAATGACCAATGAGGAGACAAGATACTTTCAAAAGCTGGGAGGAGGGAGAGAAACAAAGGGTCTGTGTGTCTGTCTATATACTGGTTTCAGAGTAACAGCCGTGTTAGTCTGTATTCACAAAAAGAAAAGGAGTACTTGTGGCACCTTAGAGACTAACCAATTTATTTGAGCATGAGCTTTCGTGAGCTACAGCTCACTTCATCAGATGCATACCGTGGCTCATGCTCAAATAAATTGGTTAGTCTCTAAGGTGCCACAAGTACTCCTTTTCTTTTTATCTATATACTGGTTTCTGCCGGGGATAGACCAGGAATGGAGTCTTAGAACTTTTAGTAAGTAATCTAGCTAAGTATGTGTTAGATTATGATTTCTTTAAATGGCTGAGAAAAGAATTGTGCTGAATAGAATAACTATTTCTGTCTGTGTATCTTTTTTGTAACGTAAGGTTTTTGCCTAGAGGGGTTCTCTATGTTTTTGAATCTAATTACCCTGTAAGATATCTACCATCCTGATTTTACAGGGGGGATTTCTTTATTTCTATTTACTTCTATTTTTATTAAAAGTCTTCTTGTAAGAAAACTGAATGCTTTTTCATTGTTCTCAGATCCAAGGGTTTGGGTCGGTGGTCACTTATGCAAATTGGTGAGGCTTTTTATCCAACATTTCCCAGGAAAGGGGGGGTGCAAGTGTTGGGAGGATTGTTCATTGTTCTTAAGATCCAAGGGTTTGGGTCTGTAGTCACCTAGGCAAATTGGTGAGGCTTTTTACCAAACCTTGTCCAGGAAGTGGGGTGCAATGTTTTGGGAAGTATTTTGGGGGGAAAGACGTGTCCAAACAGCTCTTCCCCAGTAACCAGTATTAGTTTGGTGGTGGTAGCGGCAAGGACAAAGGGTGGGATATTTTGTACCTTGGGGAAGTTTTGACCTAAGCTGGTAAAGATAAGCTTAGGAGGTTTTTCATGCAGGTCCCCACATCTGTACCCTAGAGTTCAGAGTGGGGGAGGAACCTTGACAGGGCTAGATGGACCTTTGGTCTGACCCAGTAGGGCCATTCTTATGCTCAGATCAAACTAGCTGGCTCAGGGCTTAAAACTCTTCCTAGCCCTGAGTTATGCAGTAGCTGGATCTGATTGTTAACTGTAGCCCAGGCCTTACAACACAGACCTGGCCTCTCCTTGCAAGCTAAACCCACCAACACTTCTAAATCCTCCCAGCAACAGAGCCGTCACAGTTCAGGGCAACCGCTCCTGTATTTACACTCAGTGATCCATCAAGGGCACCCACTGGGCAGCGCCCCAGCTATCGACTCTTGTGAATGGAGTCCCAGGTCTCTCTCCCTTCTGACCGGGGTATTTCTAGGCTGTTCCCTGAGTGCGTAAGGAGGCCTGCTTTACTCCTCGGCTCTGACATGGTACCGACTAATTCCCCCAGGGACAATTTTCCACACAGCTCTTCCTAGGTTTATTTCATTCTGATGGTAAAAGCACTACAGGAAAAACCCCAAACATATTCAACACAATAAAAGAAACTAGATGCAGGGTAATAGCTTCTCAGAGACCACCCCCGCTCTGCCATAGGAGCTCGGGCAGGAGCAGGCCTTCCACAGGTTCAAAGCCCCACCATGGCATTTCCCTGGGATTTCAGGTTCATCACACTCTTTGCTCAGAATGAGAACCCCTGACTCTGGCCAAGCCTGTACAAGAGTGAGCTTACAGCTGTACCGACGCAGCTGCACCGCTGTAAGCTGGCTCATGTAGCCGCTCTATGCCCCCTCCCAAGCTCTCCCCCAGTGACACCCCTCCTGCCCCCTCCCGTCTCCTACCCCCGTTCTGTGCCCCCGGGACACACCGGGAGCTGGCGGCAGCTTTCCCGGGCCCGGGGCAGGGAATCGCAGCCGGCTCCGCGGGGAGCAGCCCGGGGCCAAACCCGCCCCCTGCAGCCCGGGGGTGCCGGGGGGGGCGGGTCTCTCTTACCTTCCCTCCGAGCGGGGCCCCCCGGGGCAGGGGCCGGGCCGGGAAGGGGCCCTGGCCGGGCTGGGGGCTCTGCCCTGGGAGAGGCTCCCGGGGAGCAGCGGGCAGGGCCCGGCTGGAGGTTCCCCTCTCCCGGCTGCAGCCCGGGCTCCGGGCTCCCAGCACCAGCCGCCGGGGCGCGGGGATCTCGCCGGGAGCCAGAGTCCCCGCAGCGGCTGCGAGTCACTTCCTGGGCCGGGCCTGAGCCCCGCGATCCTCCCCCCAGAGCCGCCCCCCAGCCGCTCCTGGGTCCTAGCGATCAACCCACCGATCGGCAGGCCCCTGCCCCAGACCCTGCCCCCTGGGGACCCCACCTCCGCTGGGCACGGGCAGCTTCTCCCAGCCCTATGCAGGCATCCTGCCTAGAAGCCACAGGATCAATAGGAGGCCAGAAAGGCCACGATCCTGGGGAGGAGAGAGAAGGGGGATTTTTATGAAGATTGTGGATTGTTTCAGAGAGTCCCCAACAAGGAGTACCCAGGCGTGATAGGGTCTTGGTCCTAGAGAGGCAGCCCACATCAGACACATTTCCCAGTGACACTGACTCCATGTGTGATTCTCTCTGGTGAAAGATTGGACCAGGGAGCAGTTGGTCAGTGCTGGCATCTTGTCTCCATATCATGCTCCCTGGCTACTACAAGGTTTAGCCCGATTGATGAATCCTATATTAATGATACTGAAGTTATCACTTTGAGGTTTGATAGGTTCTTGTCCCAAGATCAGGCCCAGTAGTATTAAAATTACTGTTCGATCAGTTGGGAATCCCGATGTGCACGATCGCAACACTCACACTATAGGAACCCTTCTGTCTTTGTACCAGTTTATTAACATTGTACATTTAGATAAGTCACAAACATTCCAACACAGTAAGGCAGACAGAGATAACACAGACTGTCCATCTGTCCATCCACATACTCACACCGTCCCTTGCAGAACAACCTGAAATGTTAGCCATCCTCTTCATCATCACCATCACCTTCCTCATTGTCACCCACAGCCATCAACCTGGCACCTCCCGAGGGCTACGGCTCCCTATCCTCCCGCATGCGGGCTGGGGTACGTTTATAATGTGTTATGCTGACGCTACTGTGTCTGATGCATATTGAGTGGGGGTTTCTCTCCTCTTTCTTATGTCGATTTCCTCACCCTACTAACGTTGGGGTGCCCTTCTCCTATAGGTTAGTATATTAATGATCTCAGCTTATTATCCCATACGTCAATCCGTTGCCATGGTCAGACACCTGCGGATGTTCCCATCCTAAGCTATCCCAAAGCTGGCGTTAGCTCATGTTCCTGTGGTTGGCTGGTGTTGTCATGGACAAACTTCCCCCTTAAACTCTCTCTTCCCAGCTCCCCAAAACTGAGGGGGGGCCATTGGGCCATTTATCTGTGCCAAAGGTCATAGGCTTCAAGCCTTATGCTAACTGCTGAAGCCAGTGTCTTACAGGTAGGGCCCTACCAAATTCATGGTCTATTTAGGTCAATTTCACAGTCACAGGATTAACAAAATTGTAAATTTCATGATTTCAGCTATTTAAATCTGAAATTTCACCTGTGAAATTGGATTGTGGGGGGGTCACAAGGTTATTTAAGGGGGGTCATGGCATTGCCACCCTTACTTCTGTGCTGTTTTTGGTGGGGTGCTGCCTTCAGAGCCAGCAGCCACTGCTCTCCAGCCGCCCAGCTCTGAAGGCAGTGCAGAAGTAAGGGTGGCAATACCAGGAGCCCCCTACAATAACCTTGCAACCGCTCCCCATGACCCCCTTTTGGACCAGGACCCCCAGTTTGAGAAACACTGGTCTCCCCCATGAACTCTGTATAGTATAGGGTAAAAGTACACAAAAGACCAGGTTTCATGGTCCGTGATGCGTTTTTCACGGCTGTGAATTTGGTAGGGCCCTACTTATAGGATACAGGCCTGGAGGTTCCTTGTGTTACTGCTGAATAAAATAAATGCTAAAGCCAGTTCTCTGGGCTACAAAGGTCTGCTCCCCTAAGCCAGGTCATGAATTGTCAGTGCTGTGCCACCAGGTTGGTCCAGTTATTTGTAGGGCTAGACTAACCCCTCACATCCACCCCACCTCCAGGGCATCCCCACTGCCCCTCTCTGGGCCAGTGCAACGTTACAAACTGCTGCAGGCACAATTTGCTGTGCAGAGCAATTCCTGACATCTTAGCTGGTCTCTTTTGCTGCTCTGTTGCAATTTGCTGCCTCTGCCTTTCCCCATCCTCTAATCCAGTGCTACTCAAAGTGGTGGTCCGCAGATCGGTGCCGGTCCGCGAGCCATCAGCTGCCAGTCTGTGCGCACATTGGAAAAAAAAATCGCCGGTCCCCCACATCAGATAACTTGAGAAGCCCTGCTCTAGTCAGTGCAGGGCTAGGAAGCTGTAATGGAGGGGGACCACGGCCTGTCATATTTTGCTCCCATTCGGGAATCTCTGTTAAATTTGGGCACACAAAAAAGAAAGGTATTTTTCCAATTTGGAGAAGCATTCTGTTGAGTTAAACCTCAGGGCTATTGTACGTAAAACCTGGCATGAAGGCGGTCTTCTTCTTAGCATACACACAACGTGCCTCGTGCACAGGTGGTAAGTGAACCCCCCCTTCGGGGAGGCTAACCCACAGGCCCCTCCCCTTCCACCCACATCTCCCCCACAATGGCCAGAGCCCTGAGGCCTCCCCTCTGTGGTCAGAGGAGCCCCGCCCCATCTATCCCAGCCACCTGAGCCACTGGCTGGGCCCTGCACCACCCCGGGCCACTGGCCTGACCCCTAGGCCGACCCGAGGCACCCAGGATGGCTCCAGCCCCTGGCTGCTGGCGGGCCTGAGCTCCAGGTTGCCGGCTGGCACTGAGCCCCCACCAGCTTCAGGGAAGAGGGGGAGGAAGGCGGGGCCTCAGGGTGGAACATGGTGGGGCCACGGCCTGGGTTAGGGGAGGCTTAGCCTGCCCTGGCCTTTGATACCTATGGCCATGGGTGGCACGTGAGCAGGATTCGTCATTGAATTTGGTCCGCTAGTTGGATCATTAGCTTCCCCGGCCCGGGCTGGGTACTAATGCAGACTGAGATGCGTACGCTGATCCATGCTCCCCAAGAAGATGGTGGGATTTCTTTCTTAGTCTCTTTCCACTGTCGATCAGGCCGTACAGTTTCTAGAGTGAACAGACTTCTAATGCCCACAAAAAATAATGTAAAGCATTGAGAACAGGATTTGGAATACTTATGAATCTCTTGTAAACACAAATTATTGGTGAAATATCTAGCATTGTTCCTCATACACACTGCGCCCCCCCCCCCGCCCATCTCTGTTGCTCATATCAAACAAGTTGTCAGCACCAAATTCTGTACTTTGGCACAGGCATGTGTCATTTCAGAGACATCATTTTCTCAACCCTTTTCCTCACTGCTACAAACTGAAGTGCCCTGTCCAGGCTGTTTTTACTTCAGAAAAGCTCCCACATCTTAGTTACCCCCAATGTAAAACAAAACAAAAGGAATCAAGTTGCAGTGGGGGAGGTTTAGATTGGATATTAGGAAAAACTTTTTCACTAAGAGGGTGGTGAAACACTGGAATGCGTTACCTAGGGAGGTGGTAGAATCTCCTTCCTTAGAGGTTTTTAAGGTCAGGCTTGACAAAGCCCTGGCTGGGATGATTTAACTGGGAATTGGTCCTGCTTCGAGCAGGGGGTTGGACTAGATGACCTTCTGGGGTCCCTTCCAACCCTGATATTCTATGATTCTATGATTCTATGAATCACCTTTAGCAGTGAGGAAAAGGCCCAAGGGCTAGATTCAAAAAGGACAATGTCCCTCTGCCATATACATTGGTCAAACTGGACAGTCTCTACGTAAAAGAATAAATGGACACAAATCAGACGTCAAGAATTATAACATTCAAAAACCAGTTGGAGAACACTTCAATCTCTCTGGTCACTCGATTACAGACCTAAAAGTGGCAATTCTTCAGCAAAAACCTTCAAAAACAGACTCCACCGAGAGACTGCTGAATTGGAATTAATTTGCAAACTGGATACAATTAACTTAGGCTTGAATAGAGACTGGGAGTGGATGGGTCATTACACAAAGTAAAACTATTTCCCCATGTTTATTCCTCCCCCCACCTCCCACTGTTCCTCAGACATTCTTGTCAACTGCTGGAAATGGCCCACCTTGATTATCACTACAAAAGGTTTCCCCCCCACTCCCCCACCGCTCTCCTGCTGGTAATAGCTCACCTTAAGTGATCACTCTGGTTACAGTGTGTATGGTAACACCCATTGTTTCATGTTCTCTGTGTATATAAATCTCCCCACTGTATTTTCCACTGAATGTATCCGATGAAGTCAGCTGTAGCTCACGAAAGCTTATGCTCAAATAAATTTGTTAGTCTCTTAGGTGCCACAAGTCCTCCTACACAGACTCACACGGCTGCTACTCTGAAAACACTCAGGGCAATTCTATGCCACAAAATTAAGGCAACCTACGTTACATCGATGTACAGCCGCCGCAGTAACTGAATCGGTTTTACACGTCCACAGTATGCTCCCTGTGTTGGCGTTGCGCGTCCTCACCAGGAGCACTTGCACCGATCCAACTGCCAGTGTGGGGCATTGTGGGATGCTTTCTGAAAGGCGGCAACAGTCAATGTAAGCCACACAGTGTCTATGCTGATCCTGTGTTGACCTAAGCGCTACGCCTCTCACAGAGGTGGAGTTATTAAGTCGGTGTAGCGGGCGGGTTACATCGGTGAGAGCAGGAGTGCTGGAAGCTCCCTAGAAGTTGGAGGGCCACTGGTGCCCAAACCATGACCACGCCCCTGCTCTGCCCCTTCCCCCACAGCTCCATCCCTGCCACACCTTTTCCCCCCCAAGGCCTTGCCCTTGCTCTGCCTCTTCCCCCAAGGCCCCACACTCGCTCCGCCTCTTCCCCCAAGGCTTTGCCCCCCACTCACTCCTCTCCGCCCCCTCTCCCCTGTTGCTCGCCCTTAAAGCAGATAAAAAGTGGGAGGGCATAGCATTCACCTGGGATGAGGGAGACCCCTGTTAAAATCCCTTCTCCCCCTTTGCCTAGGAGGGGACTTCAACGTGGGTCTCCCTCATCCCCAGCAAGGGCTCTAACTACTAGGCTAGAAGTTGTAAGGTGGCTCAGAGCAAGATGCGTCTTTACAATTAAAGCACCAAAAAAGTAAAATAAATTGGTTCATTCTAATGGGAAAGGTACTCCA